AAACACCCCAAATCGAAAAAAAAAAAAAGGGCAAAGAACTTGAATAGACATTTCTCCAAAGAAGATACACAAGGGCCCAATAAACACATGAAAAGATACCCAATGGTGTTAGAGAATTGCAAATCAAAACTACAATGAGATGCCACTTCGCATCTGCTAGAATGGCTAGTATTAAAAAAAAAAGAAAAGAAGTGATGATGAGATGTGGAGAAATTGGAACCCTTGTGCACTGCTGGTAGGCATGTAAAATGGTGTTCTTCAAAAATTTAAACTACCTTATGACCCAGCAATTTCATCTAGGTAGATAGCCAAAAGAACTGACAGAAGGGACCCAAACAGATATTTGTGGACTTGTATAGCAGCTTTGTTCACAGTAGCCATAAGGTGAAACCAATGAAAGTATATTAGTCATCATTCTCCAGAGAAAGAACCAATAGGATGTGTGTGCACGTGTGTGTGTATACACAGAATTTTTTTTTTTTGAGTCAGAGTCCTACCCTGCCACACAGGATGGAGTGCAGTGGCACACTCATGGCCACTGCAGCCTCAATCTGCTGGGCTCGGGTAATCCTTCCACCTTAGTCTTCCAAATAGCTGGAACTACAGGCATGTGCCACCATGCCTGGCTCATTTTTGATTTGTTGTAGAGATGAGGTCTCGCCAAGTTGCCCTGGCGGGTCTCGAACCCGTGGGCTCAGGCAATCCCCTCACTTTGACCAACCAAAGTGCTAGGATTATAGGCATGAGCCACAGCGCCTGGCCTCAGAGAAATATCTATTGCAAGGAACTGGCCGATGCAGTTGTAGGGCTGCCATGTCCAGATTGCAGGGCAGGCTGAAGACCCAGGGAAGACTTGATGCTCAAAGCAAGCTAGAGGCAGAATTTCTCCTTCCTGAGGAGAATCTGCTTCATTCAGTCTACTGATTGAAAACTTAATCGTGTCAACATCTAGGCTGGCTTTTGACCAAACACTTGGTACCATGGCCAGGTCAAGTTGACACCAAGTGTCCACCAACAGGTGGATGGATAAACCAAATGTGGTTTGTTCCTACCATGGAATAGTATTCAGGAATGAAATTCTGATGTATGCCCCAATGTGGATGGACCTCGAAAACATGATGCTAAGTGAAACAAGCCAGACATAGGACAAATACTGTACGACTCCACTTGTATGAGGTTAGAATAGATGACTTCATAGAGACTTTAAGTAGAATGGAGGCTATCAAAGGCTTTGGGGCAATGGGGAACTGTGGGTTCATGGGTACAGAATTTGTTGGCTATGATGAAAAGGCTTTGGTGATGGTTACATAGCACTGAATGTATTTACTGAACTGTATGCTTACCAGTGGTTAAATTCACAATATTGCATTTACAGTTATCGTTTGGTATCCATTCCAGATGGTTCTAGGACCTCCCATGGATACCAAAATCCAGAGGCGATCAAGTCCCTTAAATAAAATGGACTAGTATTTGCAACCTATGTACCCTCCCATATGCTTTAAGTCACCTCTATTTTACATGTAATACCTAATACAATGTAATGCGATGTAAATAGTTGTTACAGTATTGTTTAGGGAATAATGAGAAGGGAAAAATACATGTTTGGTACAGATGCAGCCTTTTTTTCCCCCCCCTAATATTTTTCATCCTTGGCTAGTTGAATCCGTGAACGTGGAACCCATAGATAGGGAGGGCCAACTGTATTTTTACTATAATAAAAAACGTAAAAGGAAAAAAAAGCCTCAAGCCAACAAATATGACCAGAATGAAAAGTCAACAACTTCTAAACTTTCTTTAATCCCACAAATTTTTGCTTGACAGAGCACTTTCAACTGACTACCATATTTTCATTAGTTTCTCTTACAGTAATTCTACCCTAACTTTGTCCTTTTGCCTCAGAAGGCTCTCGCCAGCATTTCTGACCATTGACTTCCTTTCCTGCGGGTTTACAGAGACACTGGAATCTCGCTTCCACACTAAAATAACAGACGCCCAAAAATGTAAAGTCGTGGGTTTATTGCATATGTAACAAAATGAACCTGACCTCCGGGGTCCAGCCTGCTGTACAATCACGGTTTGTTTTGTGTTTCCAGCTGGTTCCATAACCACATTAAATAGAACTAGTATTTCTTTAAATACTTTTGATTTTGACATAAAACAGAACATTAGTGTACAACTTTCACAAAATAAATCAGCAATAAAAACAGTGGGAAGAATAACAAGGATAGCAGCAATACTTAAAAACAAGACATTACAAAATAAATTAAAAAATACATTATAAAGTGGTTGAGAAACAAAAACGAACAAATTTAAAAATCCACACCAGGTTTCGGGAAGGCTGCCTTGCTCGCGCCTGGCTGCAGGCGGGGGCGGCGTTTCGCAGAAGGCCTCTCCGGACACCTTGGGCTGGCGACCACCTAGCCCGAACCTGGCCCGTACGGGGGACAGGCGTAGGGCTCACATCGATCTAGTGGCAGACTCTCCCTTCAGAACTCCGCTGAGCTCTGCTGACCGCCACCCCAGCCTCCGCTCTTCCTACGGAAAGCACTGGCAGCGTGGTGTCCGCTGCATCCCTGAGTGTCGGCTGACGACCGCTGGTGAGGGCAAGCCTGAAAGGTCAGCCCCTGAAGCGTCTAGGCGAGGGGGCGAGGGGCAGGGGTGGCTTGTCTGGGACCCCCGTGAGGGGCGACAGGTGAGAGCACGTGAACGGGCTTCACGCGGACCCAAAGTGGAGCAGTCGGGAGCTTTTGCCACTCGCTTGCCACATGGTGTTCTTTGGGGTGGGTCAAAAGGACCGAACCACTGTGGACAGCGGAGGTTCTAGAAGTGCGATGCCACCGACAGAGAGGCCTGCTTGGAGGGCGAATCGGAGCTCTGGAAAGGTCTGCGACACTCACACAGCTGGCGACGGTGCCCAAGAAGGGGCAGCAAACCCACGCGCAAGTGCAAGTAGAGAAGCAGAGACAGAGGCCTGGGGAGATCGGGAACGCGTGGGGCCGCTGGGGCAGCCCGTGGAGGACCCGGGACGAAATCTCCTGGGTCTTGGCCGAAGCGACACCCAACACACGAGAGGCAGGGCAGCACCGACTGGCATGAGCCGGTGGGTGCAGCTTCTAAGGCTCACCCCTCACTCCTCCCAACAGCAAGAAGGTAGTTTTAAAGGCGTCAAAAGCAACATTCCTGCTTGAAAGTCACTAAACCATGAGACCCTGGTTTCCTTCCTAATTACTGCAGATTTTGGAGACCACCACCCAGAAAATCAGGCGGTGCTTCCGACCTCCTTCTGGAGGTCGCATCAGTTCCTGATGGATGTCTTTTCCGCCTCCCCTGGTTTAGGCTCCTGTCAGAGCAGACTCCCTGGGGAAGGCCTGTAGTTTCCACTTCCTCACCTTCAAGAGGAAGCAGCAAGGGAAGACTGGAAGTTACCGGGGAACCGGTTTCTATAACACCCTCAGAAAGCATCACGGTGATGAGGCATGGGAGAAGCCCAGGGGGGCGAGGCAGAGCTTTTGCAAGAGAAGAAGCCCACAGTCTGGCCTGGACCTTTTGAATGGGTTAAACTTTCTACCTACAGCAAGTCCCACCTAGCGTCCTGTACCCTAGACCCTCAGCAGCCCAGAAGTGTGGCTGTCTGGCAGCTCGTGGGAGCAGCGGACACCACACCAGGCAGACCTCTTGCTTGGCGAGCCTACAACCTAAAATGTCCGCGTGCTCCCCACGTCAGACCGCACACTGCTTCCGGAGAAGCAGAGGAGCCACAGCAGGATGCAGGAGGGTGCATTTTCCTCCAAATCCACCTTGGTCTGAAGAGGATAAGAACAGAGAAACAGGCGTCCGGAGGGTCCTTCTAGGCCATCTCAGACGCACAGCTGGGTCCCAGCGCTTCGCTTAGAGACTCTGACAGCAGTGAAATGTCTTGCGGATGGATTACCCTGTTCTTGCCCTCACCCTCGAACAAAAACAACAAAGAAACCATACGGGAAAACTTGTTGCTGCTGCTGTTTTTTGCCCATGTTTAGCTATCTGAAACCAAGCCACTTTGTTCAAATAAAATAGTCTGAACTTTTGTGCAAATAGGAAACGGGACTGGAAACTTCGAGTCGAGGCTGGCTCTGGCCTTGCTCATCACACGAAGGCCTGTGAGCACGTGAGCTGAGTAGCGATCCGCAGTGTGGCCAGCTGCCACGGGGACGGAGGCCCGTGGGGCTGTGTGGAGCCGCCCCCGGCAGGCGCAGGTTTGCATCCACGCCTTCGAGGTTATCCGTCCCCCCCGCTTGTAAGCTAGTTCACACAGAGCCAGCAGCTATGATAACAGAATTTTGTTTTGTTAGTTTAGCTCTTAGCAATTACTGCATCATAGTTTGTTAATATTTTAAGTGACACAGTCAGTGCTCTTCTGCAGACAATGGTGACAAAGAAGTCACAGCTTTGGGACTGACTGGTTGGCTCTGGGGCCGGTTTCGGTCTGCTCTTTTATAAGCTCCATTATGTGGGGTTTTCACTGAAAAAATTTCAGACTGGACAGATAATGCAGCAAAAGGGACCCTTAAAAGGAACGATCATATTTCTTGTGCAAAACAAATTTTTCAGCCAGGATACCCTGAAAAGAAATACCCTGGGCCTCCAGCGAAAGCTGCTCCAATTCCTTCTCCTTTCAAAGGGGAAACACATTTTGACTCCAGCTTCCTGCTGTGGCAGAATTCCAATAAGCATATATTATAGTTATTTTTCAGTTAGAAATTAATCTGCTACCCAGAACAGGCTGCTAGGATGTGAAATGAGGAATTTGAGCTCTGGTAAGATATCCAACAGCTGCTGAACCTGGAAAGACTGTTTTGAGGTGGACTAGCTGGGAGAGCTACCAGTTCCCGACTCCCAGGAAGCCAAGCTCAGTCCCCTAACTGTGGGCGGTGCTCCCGTAAAGAGCACAGGGCCACGAGCCTTCTCACCATGTGGGCTGCAACCACAGCAGAACATCCCGTGTGACTGACGCCAAGGGCTAAACCTGGCTGCAATTTATTGGATGGGTGATGGAAGGGGGTGAGAATACCATAATAAAGGAGGGATATATGGGTGGGAGCCACCAACGAAAGTCCCCCGTCCGCCTCCCCCCACGGAAAGGAGAGAGGCAGCCCTTCTCCCTCAGGTGATCTGTGGTTCCAGGGCTCAGCCGCTTTGCAGGAGGCGCCCAGAAGCGATATGCTTTTGGTCTGGTGGTCATGAGCTAGACTGTTGCCTTTGGTTGCCCTTTTCACTCCACAGCAAACCCGCAGGTCTCCTCCACCGCCGTCAGCAGCTTCTCGTAGAGCTTCTCATAGGACTCATAAGGTGGAATGTCGATCCGGTTAAAGCTAGAAAGGGACAGAGGGACAAAAGGGCCAGAGTCACTGCTGGGGGCGGTCCAGCCCCAGGACTGATTCAAGGTCAAGGACAGGCAGCTAGCAGTGAGGGGATAAAGAAAGGGGGAGGCGTCAAAGCATCTTATCTCCTGGTTGGGGGACGGGGTGGGTAGCACCAAGTTCTCCGCTTCTCCCTACCGGCTTTCAGCTTCTAAATGCAGAGTTTTTCAGTCAACACACAGCAAAATAAAACTTAAGACCTTTGAAATATCACCACGTTACTATTTACTGCTTATATTAGGACAAAGCTCTAAACTTGTTTTTTGTTTGTCTTTGGGAGAAATTCTTTCCCTGTACCAGGATCGTCCCCTTGGCAGCCCCCGTAACCCAGACAGGCCATCAGTCAAGCCACCACTGACGATGTCCTACATGTCTGTCTGTTCCTCTGGGACTTGATCTGAAACCAAAATGGGGCTGTCTGGAAAAGTCCCTGCAAAAACAAACCAGATCTCAAAACCAATAAAATGTCAAATCCCTGAAAGATGAAATGAATATTAAACTTCTGACTCAATATTTCCATGGGGAAATTCATTTCCAGTATTTGTGCAAAGAAAAAGACATCCTTTAAGAAGCTATTACCTTATAACACATCAAAAGCTACAAAATTGGGGCCCAGAGGACATAGAGTGGCCTCCTGAGTTACCAGGGGCCAAGCAATTAAGGGTGGCTTTTGTCAAGAAAGAGCCCGTTCCAGGCTTTTCTCTGCAGCTTTAGCATCAGAGAGTATTCTTCATGTCTGTCTTACTCCAAGCACCAAGGCGTATGCCAACAAGGCACATTCTCATAAGGCATGCCACAGCCACGCTTGGGCAAGGCCTTGGCACCCACCACAGTCCTGGAACAGCCATACCAGCCTGTGTCACAGATGTGGAAAACCAGTTACACTATGAAGTAACTTGTTGCAAATTCCATCACGGCCAGCATTTGAACCCGCATCCTTGGGTTCTAAGTCAGGAAACTTTCATCCCCTCATTTTGTATCTTGGCAGCATCTGGAGCTGGTTCTCCAGAAAGAGATGGGCTGCCCTTCTCAATGGAAGGTTCAGAGACAAAGTGTGTGCAAGTGATTAGACTTGAAAACCATAAAGGAAGTTAAAATTGAGGGAAAAACATTTTTCAGTAGACAAGATGCTATATCTATCGTATGCAAAGTTCCAGCCAGGTGTGGTGGCTCAGCACTTTGGGAGGCTGAGGTGAAAGAACTGCTTGAGCCCAGGAGTTCGAGACCAGCTTGGGCAACATAGGGAGACTCGGTCTCTGCAACAAATAAAAAAATTAGTTTAGCATGGTGGTGTGCACCTGTAGTCCCAGCTACTCGGGAAGCTGAGTCCAGGAGGTCGAGGGTGTAGTGCCACTGCACTCCAGCCTGGGCGACAGAATGAGACCCCAACTCAGAAAAAATAAAAAATATCATAAGCAAAGTTCTGAGAGGGAAAAATGGGGACCTAGAAATGTCAGCTAAAGTGAAGACCAATAAAGCCACACTAAAAACATAGTTCTTCCTACTGATGGGTATACGTGCACAACATATGCATCCAGACCCAGCTAAGATGAAGACTTGAACCTGCTGGAGCAACAGATTGTTGCCAAAACACCAACATTAATTAATTGCATGGCTCACAACAAAATTAGTGTCATAAGAGACACTGATAACACTCTTACGTGGGTTGGTGCAAAATACTTGTCCCATTTGCCAGTCATTGCCTGAGACTTTGCACAGAGGAAATGCAAAGTCCTACAAACGAGAAAACAGCCTTAAAAAGTAACGTGAACAAGCGCATCGTCCAGAGACACGCTCCCAGGATGCAGTGACCCCACACAGCAGGTCTTACCAGGTATGGGCCTTTGGAAGGTTGTCCGTGTTCGCATCTATCAGGTGGATGGTGAACAGCCGGGGCCCTGCCGCGCCTGTAGAGCCTTACAGGACAACATTCTAGTTAATGCACTTCAGAGCCAAAGCCGTGGCACTTCCCAGCCACGCAGCCCCCAGGAGCCGGGGCCCCTTCTGACCACTTCCTCGGCCCTGACGCCCCAGCCGGCTGTCTTGCCAGCGGGCCATGGAGTTCACCTGCCCCGTTCTAGGGTATGTCTAGAGTGGTCATCAAGTGACAGAATGCAGATCCTTCAGAACATCACAGGGGGCAGAGCAAAGACTGCCGAGAACTCCCCTAAGTGCACTGCAGCCCCGGGCCTGTCCCAGTGGGGGGATCTGAGGGTCACACCTATCTGTGCCTAAACCATGGAACAGAGGACCAGCCAACCAATACGGTGGGGGAGGCAGCAGGCTTTACTGGGCCCTCTCACGCTCGGGTCTTTCCAGAGTCAGCCCCTGATGGGCGCCAAGCTGTCCAGTAGCTGCCATTGGTGCTGCAAAGACATGGGCCAGCCTAGGGATGTCCTGCCTGCTGACCAATGAGGCTATGGCGGCCACTGGCCTTTGTCTTGCTGATATTCTCTTCTACGTGGTTAAGGATATTCCTTTCAGCCTGGGCCGAGGCCAGCAGTGGGCCTGGAGGCCGAGAGAGATCATGGCAGAGACACCATCTTTCTGGAGGGCAGAGGGTCTGTATGGCCACTGGGAGGTGAGTGCAGCTCCTGGGGCTGCAGGGGTGTGGAGCAGTAGGTAGGAAGGAAGCTGGTTCCTCCCTGGCAGGCCAACCCTTCAAGCCCCATCTCCCAGGGAGTCAGGACAGACTGTGCCAGGCATGCCCCGGGTGTTCGGTGCCCAGCCTGTGACCCTCTGGCTAGATTCCTTAGAATGAAAGAATCAGCCTCCAGTCTTGCCCAGCGGCCTTCAGACCCCTTCCGACAGCACCAGTCCCTCTCTGTGCCGTGGCTGTGTTCACACCCATCAGGCACAGGGTGAACAGCCAGGGCCCTGCCACACCTGTAGAACTCACAGAACCCTGTCACATCTGACCCCCACCCGGACTGACTGCCTGCTAGATAGTATGAGGGCACTTATTATGGAGGATATTGCTAAGATCCTGACAACAACATGATGGTTTCTAACCAAGAGTGTCCAGTGAGTGGGCCTGCCACGGGGAAGATGACAGATGTCTCAGGAAAAGCCAGACTCAGAGCCACAGAACCTGGACTCCTGCCCCTGCTGACCGCTCCCCACTCACTGTCTTTTTCCTTGGGGGCAAGTACATCCCATGACCCCACAGCACCTCCGTTTCTTCATTCGTGTCACGGGGATCTCTCTGGGCAGCTAGGAGAATTGAGCGAGAAAGGAAACTACCAAGCTCCAACAAGCACTAGAGGAGCTGTAGTTATGAGGCTGCTCAGGCAGAGGGAGGCTCCCATATTGAGGGGGGCTCAGCTTAGAACCCGTTTTTATTTATGCTGAGCCCCTGCAGCAGTTCTATAGGCAGAATCACTGTGGAAAAGACACAAATACCCTCATGACCACAGCCGAGGGGCAAGGATTAACCTCCTTTTACTCAACAAGGATCTCCAAAGTCAGAGAGAATATTCTGTATCTGCAATATAGCTGCATGTCTATTTAAAGTTCAATTCGCTAGATTCCAATGCAGTTACGCCCCGCACATTACTCCTTCCAGCTGTCAGCAACATCCCCTCCAAGCCCTAAGTGTAAGGGGCCGCATCAAGCCGCCTCTGCCTACAGGCTGCCTGGCATCTTTCCCATGGAATCCTATCCCACGTACAGTGACACTAGCGGCTTAAAGAGGGTAAGCATGGGCTCTTCTTCCTTTCAGTGTGGCTTGTGGCTAAACAGGGGTTCATCTGGAGCCACCAGGACAGGGCAGGGCGGCTCCCCGCGACTCTCCACCTGGGGTCCTGGGCAGGCCGGCCTGGCAGCGGTGGAAAGTGAGGGGCCTGGCCCGACTCCCTCAAGGCCCGCTGGCCAAACCTTCTGGGCTCTTGGGAGCAGTGAGGGGGGGACCCACACGCCTGGAGTGGCTCAGCAGGTCACGGACGGCACCTGCTGGGCAAGCCCCTCCGCACTCCCGAGCGCTTGTTAGTAGAGAACATCCATCACGTCATTTCTAGTCGATGGCTCAGAACAGCAGCCCGACCACCCTCTAGTTCCGCCCGCCACGGTCCGACCCAGAACACGCCGGCGCAGACGTGCAGCCAAATAGCCCTGCCTCCACGTCAGTCACCTTGCAAAGCCTTGAAACCTTGGAGCGGGACGCGAGTGGACCCGGTCACGAACTGCAGGAGCCTGGCCCGCCTTTCTTCATCGAAGGTCTCCACTGCTTGCCAGAACCACCTGACGATGTTGCTGTCGGCCACGCAGTGCTTCAGCCGCGTGTTCGACTTCCAGTCATTCAAGTCTATTTTGTCCAGGCCACCTATTATCAACTGAGAAGGTGTTTGAAGGCGAGTTACTTCCAGAAGGTATGAGCCCATGTCAGGACATGCCTCCTAGGTTCCCAAAACTTGGAGCCCAAGCGAAGAAGCAGCTGTGTACCAAGAATTATGTGGGTCTGAGGTAGATGGAGTATTTTCCCAGCTTGTTTAAGAAGTTGACCCTAGAACTACAGCTCCTCCCAAGGGAGCTGCTCTTGGCATCTCACTGAAGCAGAAAGCCTAGAAAAACAATCTGGAGGCCTTCAGCTATTTTGCACCCAACAGAGATGGATGGGGGTGAATGAATCACTATGTTCAAGCACATGAAGTATTAGAGAAGACAATACCACTCTGTTCTTGGTCTAATGATAGAACATAAAGCCATATGACATTGTGGGAGAACCTGGCTATATACAAGAAAACGTCCCCAGTCAGAGATGATGGCTACGCAATCTCCCACTCTGCTAGACGTCCTGAAGATAGGAGAAGCCACAAACACCGTGAAGAAATTCCTGAGATTTATGCAGATTTACTGCCACCAAGTGGACACCTTGCCTCTTACAAACTGGCACTCAACTCCCCTTCTCACTTTAGTCCTGTCTTCTGGGAACCCCGACAAGCTCCTGGGCTTACCAGAAAAGAGTGCAAGCCTTACTCTACAGTAAGGATTTAACACAGGCAAATGCCACCACATGAGACCCCTGAATGCCCTGAGTTGATGCCGCACGCCAAGCACATACCTCTAGTTCCTTCTGGTCAAAAGGCTTCAGCAGGTGTTGAGGGATGAGTTCATTGAACCCTTTCTGAAGAGCTAAGAACTGTGCTTCGATTCCTCTCATAAACCTCCAGTTTACATACAACCTGGAAGAAAAACTCATGAGTTGAAAGCAAAACCAAACGGATTTTCTTCCATGAGCAAGTTCTGATATCACAACCCAACAAACCTTGAACACAATGCGGGCACGCCCACTGAGCACAATGCCTAGCCCTTTCCAGCCCTCATCACTAAGACAGGCAAAAACCACCCCAGCAGTTAGTAATGAGCCTTGGTATCATGCTAAAAATGAATCAGCACGTGCACTTATGCGTTTTGATTATTTACTCAAAACAGGAGTAAAAACAGCAGGATTTAGGCTGACCTGTTACAGCAACTGCTTAATTTAAAAGTACATTTGAGGCCGGGTGCTGTGGCTCACATCTGCAATGCCAGTGCTTTGAGATCTGGTCATGAGTGCTATCATGGCCAGGTAGGCCTTACACAACAAAGGAGCTACAACCCAGTACCCAGCTATTCCCACAGGCAAACACCGAGGCAACCCTGGACAGTACCGGACATATTCTTTTTTGTTCTCCTCTGTGACGGGCACATTTCTGCCATTGGGCTTCAGTTCGTGCTGAAGAATTCGCCCAAAGGCATTGTGTTCCACGCAGAAGGTGTGGTCCAGTACGGGGGTGATGTCGTTCTCCCTGTCAAAGCAGGACAGAAGGTAATGTCACTTACACCTCTAATCCCATGTGGCATCAGACAGAACATGAGGTGGGGCAGTCGGGTAGAAACAGACAGTGCTTACTGATGGCCAGACCCAGCGCTATGAGGAGGGTGGACAGTCAAGGGCGGACACAGATCTGTGCATGGGTCAGAGCACATCTGGAAGGAACCAGGAGACCACAGCTCTGGTGCTAGGTGTCCCTGACTCCTGGCTCTCTCATTCATAGAAGGAAGGTGATGGTCACTCTACTGTTCTGTGATTTTATGAGATATGCAACTTAATTTATTTGTAAGCTGAGTCTGGGAGTAGAGGAGGGACTCTGGAACAGTTTGTGGCTGAAGAGAAACCATTCTAGAGGAAGCCACACCAAGAAAATATGGTCTCCCCTTTTCAGATGCTCTCGTTCAAAACAAAAGCACGTGAAAAGTTGAAACTGACTCTTTAATCCGCCATCTTTCTTGTAACACAGGCAGAGTGAAAAGTTGTCTACATGATGAAGGCCCTGACTCCCCAGAGTCCCCACTGCAAGCTGGTACATGTGACACCTGGGACACACCGGGAGGCCCCAGCGCCTGCTCCCCATGTCCGCCTTCCCCCTTTCCAGAGACGGAGCTTCCAGCCCTGTGACGTCGGCTCCTTCAAAGGCCCCACGACACCGACGGTTCATCTGGTCACATGCCCATGCTCTTAAGAGCATTCAGGACAATTCTAAGGCAAAGGGAACGTTAATTTTGTTTCGATACTTTCTTGGCCTGTCTATAGAACACCTGGAGACACTTTGGAGTGACACACATACCCTATACTTGGCCTGGGGATTGGTCTGTCAATTTTCAAGGAAGATCTTAATAAGTCAAGGAAACAACAAAAAAAACTCGTCCATGAAGAACAACTGGCCAAACACCATGAGAAAGATAAGGCAATTAAGTATTTTGTGTTAAATCTGCTTTCTGGTTTCTGGTTATGATACAAGGTTTCTTTATTTCTCTTCTCTAAGCTCGCACCAATCCCCAAAGTACATACATGCATGTACACGCACACAACACACACAGTGGTGCGTCCATGACTGCATGTGTATCTGCAGACGACTGAGCAGGAGTCTATACTTACAGGATCCACACCAAGCTCTTATGCAGCTCCGGGTCCACCGACTCCAGATCTGAGAGCTGGATGGGCTTCCCCAGCAGCTGCTTGTAGAAGGGCACCGTGAAGCCCCCATTGATATAGTGTCCGTGGAACACAGCCAGCCCCATGATCCGCCCAACAAAGTGGAAGTAAGACAAGTGGTCCTGTAGGGGCACCAGAGAACATGGATCTGTCAGAGAGAGGTCCACCAGTGTGGGCATCTCGTGCTTTCTCTAAGCTTCTTTCAAAAACTGTCCCAGAGGCAACCAAACACTGACTCGGTTACTCACAGGCTAGCTCATGGCCAGATGAAAAATGGCTGCCTGGGCAGCTGAAATGTAGAACACATCTTTTATTTAGATCAGCTGGACAACATGCTGTATGCCTGTAGGTCCAACACCTTCTCTCAGAAACTGCCATGTAACTCGCAGGGCCCAGTGCAAAATGAAAACGCAGAGGCCCCTTTTCCGAAGTGAACGAGCATTTCAGTCTGACGACAGCAGAGACCAAGCCAAGCACGAGGCCTTCGCGGTGTGGGCATCAGGCCCCATGGAGGCTGCACGCCCAGGAAGCTGGTCTCGCTTTTCCTTCCCATTGAGCGCAAAGAGAAGGGCGATTCCCCTTCCTCTTCTGCTGCTCCACCCCCATGCCACAAGAAAGAAAAAGAAGAAATCCCAAGAAGGGGAAAAAAAGGAACACAGGAAAATACGTATGAATATGCCAAGTAAAAGAACATTCTAGAACCAGGGCCATTCTGGTTTTTAACTCATAAATCTGTTTCTACTTTGAATTCTGAATGCTCGTCACCTCAGAAAATTAGCCAAAACTTCACTTTCTTTTTTTTTTTGAGTTGGAGTCTCACTCTGTCACCCAGACTGGAGTGCAGTGGCCGCTCCCAGCCACCGCAGCCTCGACCTGCTGGGCTCCGGCGATCCTTCCGCCTCAGCCTTCCAAGTAGCCGGAATTACAGGCATGTACCACCACGCCCGGCTGATTTTTTGATTTATTGTAGAGATGAGGTCTCACTGCCCAGGCGGGTCTCGAACCCGCGGGCTCAGGCCATCCACTCACCTCGGCCTCCCAAAGGCGCGGGATTGCAGGCTGAGCCACCGAGCCCGGCTTAAAACTTCACTTGCTTGTTGGCAAAATGTTCTTTCACATGTGAACTCAAGTGGCGCTGCCCTCGGGCCCGCCTCAGTGGCTTGCGCATGGCACGGCACTGCAGGGGACGTGATTCCACAGGAAGGCCCCCTCTGGCCTGCCATCTGCCCTTGGGCTGGGTGCACAAACGCTGCATTTATTCCTCATCTCTGACAAAAGCGTGCCAAAAGGCATCAGCATTCATGGTTTACAAAAACAAGTATGGAAATATTCCACTTCTGGAAGGAGGCTGGACTGTGTAACCACTTCTCAGAATGACACCCGTAACAAGCACGGCCTCAAATGGCAACAGTGCTGTGAGTGTTATGGGCAGCTCAATTTCACCCTCATTCTCCTTCAGCACAACATACCCAACGATCCCAATCTCGAAAAATACAGGCTTGAAATCATTCGTTTTCATTTAGTTCTCACTCTACCTTTCAGTCTTTTACTTACTACTGTTTTTGATTACGTCTACAATGAATAGACCACGAATTGACACTGAACCTGAAAATTCATCTTAAAAATTCTCCAACTAAATTTCCTACCTCTTTATTCATTAATACTTACAGGGTTGATTGAAGAATCTGGATTGATTTGCAACATGTAAATATTGTCTGTGGAATACTGGAAGAGTCCGTAATACGGATTCAACATTTCATGGCACAACAAATAAAGCCACTCCCTAGGAATAACAAAAAAACTGTTTTATCTGTGCTAAAATTTCTGGCTTTAGATCTTTATGAAAAGATTGACTGACTCTGTCCCAAAAGGCCAAAACAGTGTCAAGTAAGAGGAGCAACGGGTCAGGGTGCCGGCTCTGAGTGGATGCAATGGTCCAGGCTGGGCGAAGCAGCCTAAAGAAATCACAGTATCCCAAGGAGCCCCCGAAGCAACCCAGAGTCCTCAATTACTGTTCCTCACCACCACATGACCAAAACTTCAACAACAAATCTGCAGCTGAGAAAGAAGCATAGTTGACTAGAGTTATTAGTATCACTGGAAAAGTGCGATAATCTCAGAAGTTTGTCCACTTTCTTGTACCTCAGCTAAGGTTTTCTCTGCTACTTTGCAAAAATCAAGATCTTAGCTGGTGATATTAATGATGTGGTATTAACTGACAAAAGCACAATAAAAAGCAATCTGATCCCGTTAACTTTAACTTCAGGATCCTGGGTCACTTTTGTTTATTTTTATTTTATTTTGTTTTTTTTAAATGTTTCAAATAAGAAGAAAACATTTCAACGCTCAAAGTCCAGGGAGACAGAGAAAGACTGTTTAAGAATGACTTTTGCCCTTCACAATTTTCTGTTGAATTATTTTTTTTACCATAAACACTTACCATTTATGTAACTTTAAAAACTAGTTTAAAACTGTAAAGTATGAGTTATATAATTTTCTGAATTCCTTTAATGTTCGAATCATCTTATCATTAAAAAACTACAAAATTAAAAAGTTCAAACAAAAAACACACTTTAAATAGAAACAGTATGATTCAGTTGCTACTGTCAGGTTGTGATAAGCCCAGGTACAGGGAGACCCTTACCCTTACATGAATATCTGTGGCAGTTCTAAAAATAGCCTTTTTTCTTTCTACTCAAAACTCCTTTCAAATGGATAAATCTCATTAAGAGAGCAGCTGTAAATTTTAAATTTCTTACTCATTCAAACAGAAAAGATACAGAAGTGAGACAGAATAGGAAAAGATAAGTATAAATGCAAAGAATCTGTCCAAGAAAATTGTGAGACGACACAAAAACAACCAGACCAAAACAGTTATGTATTGCACTCAAAAGAACAGAAAGGAACTGCCAGAGAGATGAGACTCCAAACCTTATAGGGCCTCTCCACTACAAAGACAAAATTGCTCAACTTTGATTCATCCCAAATTTTGGAGTTTGGATTTGGGAAGAACTTTTTTGGAAAAAGCCAAGGACCTGCAATTGTCTAGACAGGAAGTGATTAAGATACAAGCAAACATTCTGCCCAAGCTGTGGACAAGGAAAAGATACAATTGGGTCTGCTCTGGACATGGTAAGGGAAGAGCCAACTTACACAGGCAGGAGAGAGAGGCTACAGCAATGACTCTGGACCAAACATGGGGAAATCAGTGTAGCTTGAGTCTCCTGGACCAGATAATGAACACATACATGCACACATGTATATCACTGAAATCTCTACAGTTCTCCAAGACAGGTGTGATCTCATTTAGATACGAGGAAGACCCTGAGGGGTGAGATAAACCATGCAAAACCAAACTGGAACCAGCCAAGAGGGATTCAAGGCTCTTTCCACAACAGCATTATGTCTACCTAGGGCGCTCCACGGAGACTGGCCTCCACATGGAAGACTGGATAACTACGGAAAACGCATAAGGGCTGTAACTCTTACCAAACCAGGAAATTCGATAGCTGAGTAACAGGCATTTCGGAAAGATCAAAGTAAGGAAATGGGAGAGAGGAAATTATCAAAAAGTTAAATTCATTCATTCAGTGCAGATGTATAGGACGCATACTGTCTATGTGTTAGGTGTTGTTCTAGGAACTGGGGATTCAAGTTGTGAACAAGACAAAGTTCCCACACGTGTGTTGAGTCTTTTAGGAGATGGAGACAAGAAAGGGAAACCTCCCACCACACAACTTGTCAGGTGGTGACAAGAACTCAAGGGAGTAAGCCAAAGCAGAGGACGCCACAGGATCCCCAAGACAGTGGACCTGACCTAGGAAGGCAGAGACATCTCATGACAGCCACTGTGCAGAAGAGCCAAAGAATCGTCATCACACCGGAGAGAGGACTCCAAGAAGAACATGGAGGTACGTCAAGAGATGTCATGTGTCCCTGGGGGGACTGAAGTTTAAAGGGGCAATATAATAAAGCTTAGTTTTTGTTTGTTTTTTTTTTAAAGGAAGAAATTCTTGGAAAAATTAAAATTTGTTCAAAAAATAAATCAACTCTAGGATACTATTTAACCCCTTAGTGAACAATCTTCACGTTCATCATAATATAAACAGTGTACTGATGTTCAATGCTTACAATAATAGTAGAAAAGCACAGGAGACTGACTTAATTTTGGTTATAGAACAGAATGTAAATCTTCAGCCTTGACAATATAAAAGTAACATTGCAGATGGAAGAATTTAAGAGGTAGAAGGAAGAAGGGATGCTGAAGGGAAAGTTACAGTACTGATATCCTTTTCTTAGGAAGATGAGGTCGAGGTAATAATCTCTAGTTGACAAATCAAAAAATAAAGGTGAAAGCACATGACAAAAGCTAAAAATAATAGAACTGAAAGACTGGTATTACTAAACTGGAATGAAAGAGCATCAGCTGGATTCTCTTGTATCTCTCTTGTGTTTACAACCATAAATCAGTAAATCAGAAGATAATCATTTGAATCGAGTGATATAAAGACATCTGTTAGGAGAAACAGCTACAAGAGTTAAGAAGCAGTTGTTTGGAAGATGAAATGAGGCAGGATAGGAAATTGCAGTTTTTCATTATTCTACTCTGTTTTTTATATCATTTGCTTGAATCGCTTTGACCGAAATTTCACATTTTTATTTATTTACTTTTTGAGTTGGGGGTCTCCTTCTGTGGCTCAGGCTGGAGGGCAGTGGCATGATCACAGCTCATCACAGCCTTGAACTCCTGGGCTCAAGCAATCCTCCTCAGCCTCCCCAAGTGCTAGGATTACAGGCATGAGCCACCAAGCCCAGGCTACATTTTAATTTCATAAAATTCCTTTGATACAAAGTAAATTTACGTGTCGCCCTATGCCCCGCCCCGTTCCCCTGCCCTTTTCCTGCAGAAAATCCCTAACAAGAAGACCAAGCCCACCTCCTGTACTAATTTCATAAGTCCCACATGTTTCCACTTCAGATGTGCCACGTGAAGAAAGGGGTAAGTGAAGGTTTAATTCTCGCTTTACAAGAAGTCAACTAGTGGGACGATCATGTACCTTCCGATAGGTTATGGTGAGAGGCAAGCCTGAGCACACTCTCAGGAATTCTTCCTCTCAGAAAGCTGGCTAAAGCCAGACTAGGGCCCTGACTGCTCCAAGGAGATACCAGCACGGCCCAGTGTGCTCAGTGACAGACACGAAAGACGAGCAGGGCGAACGACTTCTCTCAGAAAAGTCTATAAGCTATGCTGAAATCCACCCCGCAGAGCCAGGAATAAGCAAGCATCTCACCTCGCCACGCCACCGTAATCCAAACCTTCTTCCCCTCGGAATTTCACCATGAGTCGTTTTTTCAAGTCTTTCGGTCGCATCTTCATTATCTGGCGGTAAGACTCCTGCACATCAAAATTCTATTTTCAGAGAGAAGAACGTATCTTTTTCTTAAAGTTGCAGGAAGATTAAAGGCTATTGATAATGGAGCCTGATTAAAAATAAGCATTTGTTCAAATGCAAGATTTATCTGATTGCTATTCAGAGGTTTATGTGGCATCTAGTACAGGGCTGCTACATCTGGTACATTCCATCTTTTCTCTCAGGTTTCTTCCTCCGAGACAACACAACAAACACAATGCCAAGTAACACTAACCTTAAAGGAAACACAAATCTCTGTTTTCAATTTGAACACTAAGCTTCAGAACAAATGTCCTCACTAGAGTTAGTTTTCTCTTCATAAATGAATTCCAATGCATTCCATAAGCAATTAATGTATTTCAATCAAAATAAAGACAGCATTAGAGAGTCTAAGTGTTAAAGAATTCTGAGTCTGCTTTTATATATAAAGTGAAAAGTCACACAATTTCTTCCGAGTCACAAAGCAAAAAAGATTTTTAAGACACCAAGTAGCTTACCCAAAGCACAGAAAACATGTGGTCAGCCTATTTCTTCAGATTCAGCATTTTAAGTAAAAGTAGCTAAAGTTTTGTAGGCATTTTCAGTGACAAGGCACTTAAGAGCTTTTCACGCTTTAAATATTCAAGTCAAACTTGAGCATCCTGAGAAATGATCTGGCAGCAGAACATCAGCACTCCAGTTCTCTTCTATCCTTGGCACCATAAAGCCTGCTCAGTGGGCAAAGCTGGGTCCCACAAAGCAGCCACTGGCCCACACTCGGGCCCAGCCCTCACTGTGAGGAGAGTACTGAGTTCCCTGCATCTTGCCACTGGGGGTCCCCAGCCGCCAGTGACCTGTGGGAAACTATGCTCACGTCTTGTCCCATCTCATCTGATCGTTCCTACCATTGTCTCCTCCACAAAGGAGGGCAGGATATGGCTAGACACAATGATTTTCCTTACGATCATCTTTCTTGAGAAAAGGGCATGGTCTTGGCTTAGGGACCTCCCTAAGGGACAGGACACTTGTGAGGGGCCACCTGCTTCTCCCCTATTTCCACAGGAGAAGCCAGCACCACCGAGCCACTCTGAAGAGTGCCATCAGATGACATCCCATGCCAGGAGACAGAGGAGGGTGACTGGCTGGTTCTGAGGAAACTGTGCAGACTGCAAGAACACAGAGCCTGCATAATGCACTGTTATTTAGTGCTGGTTTCTGTACATACCTCCAGGTTCACCTCAGAAATGATCTCGTTCTTAAACTTTCACCCCAGGAGGAACTACACTTCCCTCCCTCTGCATGGTCCTGATGACCCCTGCGTTTCACTCAGTAGTCAAATCAATACCTGAACTGCCAAACAGAAAGAAAGTTCACTGGGATGCAGAAGTCACCACAGAGCGGTTCACTGAAAGCGGTCCCTTTGACACAAACGAGCTGGTGATTCCTCTGGCTGAACTGCCTCATTGGTTTCTTAACAGGGCTGAGCAGTCTATGCCTGACTGTCAGGGCACTGAACTCTATACCTCGAATATTTCTTCTCTGGATACTTCAATGCGGCAATGACCAGCTTGGGGCTGCTGAAGTGACAGTTCATGTCTGAGGACTTTTAGTTTCTGGACCAAATCTCTTTCGTATCTCTGGGCAGGAAGCTCCTCGTCCTCCACAGAGCCTTCGGTGGGCAGTGGCAGCGGCTGGCTGGGCTCCTTGAGTTGGCACTGGTGACTTGAGAAGAAGAGAGGCAGAAAGTCACTCTAAAGCCCAGGCCAAGGAAACTCCACGCATGCCTGCACACAGCGGGACTGAGGAGAGAGTCATGCACACAGCTTCAGGGAGAATGAGTTTCCCCGATGACATAACCAAGTACCTGGCTGTGTAAAAACTGCTGATAGCTGCCATGAACCTAGATGTAGCTCCAGGGAACAATACCGGAGATACTTCAATTCCAGGCCACCATTTATCTCATACATTATTAATATAAATAAAAACGGAAATTGCTGTCATTTATCATGCACCTATTATGTACCTGTGAGACTGACCAACATGACATTAGATGCACCTCGGCAGTTAAAATGAAACAGAGTTGAGGGGAAAATGCAGACAGGAGAAAGCAGTGGAGGGGGCAGGATGCACAAGGCAGGCAGCTCGAGGGAGATCTGCTGATAACTGGTCTTCAGTTTATTGCCAAGATTTCTAAGCCCGCTCATTATGAGCAAAGTGAAATACAAGGACTAGGAATAGTAGGGTGAGCTATGCAGGATGTTTTGCTCAGAGAACACAACAAACCTGGAACACCGAATATGGGATCCGAGATAATTCCCACGGCCAAGTTATCTAGGAATGGGCACAGGGGAAGGCTTGGCCCTCTGGAGTGCACGTCGCAGGCTCTAAGAAGAAATCTCACTTCTCTGTCTCTCAACCTAATGGCCACGCGTGTCTCTAGAGTGCTGTGTGCAGAACCTTCCTTAAGAAGCTGCCTAACACCCTCACCTCAGTGAACTTTATTGAGGATGTAAGTAAGAAAAGGGTGGCAGCAACATGTGGCCTCAGTACTCTTTACAGCTAATTTAAGAGTTTAAAATATGCAATTATTTACCAACAATTTATCATTATATTGCTTATGCTTATTCAACAAATAATGCAGTAGATGAATTAAGAAAAATATCAGTTTAAAAAACATTAAATTCCAAATGAAAGAGGTCAACAAAAGTTTTTTTCAAGTCTTACTTCATGATGTGGTGTAACCTTGGGTCTGTAAACTGGGTTGTTCGGTTATTATGATCTACAAAATATATTCTCCCAGAAACTGTACTTCTGACTTCCCAACCTGGTGGCAGTGGTCCAAGTTCATCGCAGTTCACACTGTTAAGGTCTCTACCAAAACGGAAAATATAGAGAAGTTTGTCCAACTGAGTAGGAGGAATAAGACCAAAACTTCAGCGGCAGGAGCCACAGAGGTTCCTTATCAAGGTGTCTGTGTCCCATTCTGGCAAGACAGACAGTCATGGTGCTACTTACGCCAAACCCCCACTCAGTCCAGACCTCTTTGCTGCAAATAGCAGCAACATCCGACAGATAATAACAGAATTTCAGAGCTTATGACCATAATAAGGAACAAGGTCTACCTAGGGAATATCATTTCCTACACGAAAGACGGCCCAAATAATAGGAAGTATCTGAGTGCTGTCGGAAAACTATCTGAATACACAAGTTAAATTAAATGCTCAAGGTCTTCATTGAAAAACTCCCAGACAGCACCCAGTTTTTCAAGGTCGAGGGGGCTATATTAACATGCACTTGAAAACTCACAATTCTAAACAGTTGCACCAGGACAAGGCATTCTCATTTTCAAGCTGGCTTTTTTGCTAAGCAAGTATTTTCAATTCTAAGCTCTTGATTAATTCTTTCAGTACAATCCACAGTCAAGTGGGAGCACAGCATTACTGACCAAGATGTCTTTCTAATTAACACAAAAGCCTGTCATTTCTCACAGTGGGTACTAAAGAGACACTTCATTCATTTGCAGGTAAGATTTTCATTCTAATTATAGAGACTGAATCATAAATTCAACATAGTCTTGGAAAATCAAAGATAGGAAGCTTATTCTCAGATGAAACAAATTACAAATAAAAAGGAAATGAGCATTACTAAAAATCTTATTAGGTAGTAATGCTATTCTAAAAGAAAAAAGAGAAAAAAGCAAAGCAAAGCAAAAAAGAAACTTAACTCTGTTACGGGGTGGGTGGGGTGGGGTAGGGGTCTCTCTGACCTGGGCTCAGATGTATGGCCTTGTAGAAGGAATTCGTATAGAAAAGCTTCATCTCCCCCAGGAATGGTCCCCAAGGGACTGAGGCAATAGGGACAGTAAAGTAGAAGAGAGAAAGGGTAATAGAGTCTTTATATTTCCTTTTTAACTTTTTATTATGGAAAATTTTAAGCATATAAAAACTAAAGAGAGACGATAACGAATTGCTACATGACCAGCTTCAACAATTACCAACTCATGGTCAACCCTGCTTCAAGTAGACCCCTATTCACTTCCCCCACCCCAATTTATCGAAAACAAATCCCAGACATCATATCATTCTGTTCATCACTATTTTTAGTTCAAAATGAGAACAACACATCTTGAAGGGTCTGTGGCTTTTCAAGTCAACTGCTGGAAAAACATCTTCGATGGTGCATTTTAGAAAACGTACCTTGGTATCCTGGGGTCGTGCCACGTGCTAACTCCAGTCTGTGTGTGCAAAAAGTAAACTTGCCCCTGGACTGTTGTTCTTTGTTCTGCAGAAGAAATTAGGGATAAAATTAGATCAATTCAATTCTGAGGGGAGTTTTCAAACATCCTCCATGCTCTCACTTCAGGTACTGACCGCCACATCTAGATAACACTACCCCGTGCATGCATTCTTCTCTCTCAGGTCGCCCTTTCTTCTCACTTGTACCCCCATGCTGTCCTTTCCAGAGCACTACAGAGATCCTCATCCGGCCTACAGGTCACCTTCATTCTCTTTGGTATTAATTTGCCTAAAATTTCCACATGATTTCTAAACTAGGACATGAGCAACTGCTGAAAATTCATGCTAAGCGAGATTTATCACCACCTCTTCCAGGTGTCTATACCACCACAAGCTTCTAATGGCACAGCAGTGCAAACATCAGCATTTATGGCATGTACAACCTACTAAGGGTTAAAAACAACAACCCCCTGAAACAGTGCAGATAACTGGCCACGGAAGGGTGAACGCTCTCACCGTAGCCTTCGGGCAGTTCTGGCGACTGGTGGCCATGCGGTCGGTTCTGAGGCGTCTGCAGTGAACCTCGCACATCAGGATTTCGAAGCCGCTGCACCTGAAGTCTTTGACCTTGACTTGGAGACTCCACAAACCTGCAGTTCCCTCCACCAGCAGCAGCACCGGTACCGTCTGTATAAGGGGCTGGTTCCTCCATGAAGCAGCTGAGTGGCCTACCGGGCCCTGAGTCTTCACACACCGTTCTGAAAGCGACAGGAGTAAGCAGGCATGGCTACAAGAGTCACAGCAAAAGTGCCTAGACTCCCTGGGGGCACCGTCACACGACCTTCATTTTGCTTTCCTTGAAAAACTTAGTGTTCCAAGGGGCTTCGTTTTGTATCCCATTTAAACAAAAAGACATACAGACTCTATTCTAAGAGGAACAGGCGGCCAGCATGATATCAAGGCCACCTGTACAATTTCACTCTAGAGTAGAAAGAACGACTGAAAAAACCAACCTCGCACTCTCAGGAACTTGTGAAATGAGATTTCACCTTTCTTGATTTCCAAACATGCATTTTCCTTGTGACTTTATGATGGAACTCCCGGTTACATAAAATACCACAATGCCTTTAAGTACTTTCCAAACATCAATCTTTACCCCCTGAACAATTCTGAAGACATTTACCTTAATAGGTTATTTTCTCTTTAAGCAAATATTTTTTTTAAAAAAAACCTCTCAGGTTGAAAAATTTCAAATATATACAAACAATTGAGACTAGCACAGTGAACCCCGGTACCCACCAACCAGCTACAATGACTATCCCGTGGCTACTCTTCCAATTCCTTCTACCACTAGGTTATTTCGAAACCAATCCCAACATTTTATCAAATTATCCTTCAATATTTCAGCATATACCTCTAATAGACAAGGACTTTTTCCATTATTACAACTAAAAAAAGTCCATTAATTTTTAAAAAATCAAATACCAATTGGTGTTCAAATTTTTTCTAATTGTCTCATCATAAGCCAGGATCCAAAGTCCTCACATTGCATTTAGTAGCTATGTCTCTTTTAATATTATTTTATAGGTTCTCCTTCCCTCCTTTTATATATTTCGTTTTCCTGTAATGTATTTGTTGAAGACACTGGGTTGTCTGTCCTATCGAGGACCCCACTCTGGACGTTCCTCACTGCATTCCCTTGGAGTCATGTGACACATTCCTCCTCCCCTGTATTTCCAAGAGGTCTGTGAATGTTGGATCATCTCTCTTTTGTTGGCCAGGTCCATTAATTGATGGGGCACTGCAAAACTGTGACAGTCACCAATGAATGAGAGTTTGATTTTCTTGGTTATTTTTATGTTTTAGGTATTTTTCTCCCTAATTGTCATTATGAACTCGTGGATTTTTAATATATTTGATGTATTTGAATTCACCGCAGTTATAATTCTGTCACCCAGGCTGTGTGCTGGTGTGCAGTAGCATGATCATGGCTCACTATAGCCGCAGATTCCTGGGTTCAAGCAATCCTCCTGCCTCAGCCTCCCAAGTAGCTGGGACTATAGTCATGTGCCACCACACTAATTCTTCTCTTCCTCTTTTGCAGTGACAGGTCTTGATATAATTCCCAAGCTGGTCTCGAACACCTAGCCTCAAGCAATCTTCCTGCCTAGGCATCCCAAAATGATGGGATTACAGGTGTGAGCTACCACACCCAACCAATTGCAGTTATAATTCTTACTGATGCTCAGACTGTCCCATCTTTGGACAGTGAGAGCTTCTTTAAGTTGGACTCTGAGTCTTCTGGGCACAACCCCAGCAGTTTTTACACCTTCCTTCATAAACAAACCAGACCACAGTTTTATCCCAAATGCATCTCCAGCTCTCAGCACAGTGACTTAAGATGGGAAGGACACTTTCATATAGGTCAAGAGGCTAAGGCAGAAGAGAACTGGCACACATTGCCATGGTTATACATACCCTTCATTTTCTAGCAGACCTCTGCAGTCCACCACCGAGCCGCCGGTGCCTATTCTGTCTCGTGTCTGTAAACTGACTAAAGCAGAAAAGAACAGCTTGTGTTAAATCCAGTGGTGTTTTATATAATTGTAAAACAGTGAGTCCCTGCAAATTTAGAATTTATGGACAATATCGTAAAAAATGAGGCATATGTATACACATACACACATATATTCTTTATGTTTTCAAATATGAAGCATTTTTCTCTAGTAGCTGCATACCACCACCTACCACTTGGAATATTCCTTGGTAACATGAAGCAGAAAAGGGTGCTATGTTTCTCATGATCTTCATAATAATAATAAGGCAATATTAAGTTACACTGTTTTTTTGGAAGACTTTTTTGGGGGGGGGGCATGGGGTCTCACTATAGTTCCAGGCTTCAAGCTCCTGGGCTCATGGGATCCTCCCACCTCAGCCTCCCAAGTAGCTGGGACTACAGGCATGTGCCACCGTGCCCAGCTTTTATTTTTTAAGATTTTGGCTTATGTTTAATAAGGACATAGAGTGTCCTTTCAGTATCTGTAAAATCTAAATGTTTATTCTTTATCTCTAAAATAAACACAAGACATTTATAAAGTTGTTTTCAGCTATTTGTTTTTTTCCCCTGGCACATCCCTCCACAAAGAAAGGAAGAGATCACGAGCAGGAAAGCATTAGATGAGAACATTTTCATTATGATGGTTTTCAGGATGTGAACCCACTGTTCATTTATCTTAGGTCAAGTCTATAGAAAACAAAACCTAAAAGATTTGGAGTCATGCCATTACTCCAGTGTGCTGCAGAGCTACTGTTTTCTTTGATTCCTTGCAATGTATACAAGTCAACATTCAAGCTATCCTAAAATACAAATACAAATGGGTAGATAAATGGATAAGCTATTTAACAGTTAACTCATTTCCAATGGATTGCCTCTAGTCAACACTTTGTAACATGAGCACATTTAATTTTTCATTCTAAATAATAATAGTCCTCTGACTCTAGAAATCATATTACATGGAATTCTTCATGAATCATCTTTGCTTTTCATATATGTGATGGGTCTTCCAGAAGAAACTATTTCCCAACTCTTGCATATGTGGCCACCATTCTTATCACCTACCCTTGAATAATACAAAGACAAATTAATTGTACATTAATGTGATGATTAAAATGACATTTAAAATTATAACTCTAAATCTTCCTGTACCTGAGTCAACTTTTAACTCAACTTTAAATGACAAGATGAAGGGAATTAGATAAAACAATAAAAACTATACAAAACAAAAGTTTCTGGTACTGACGAGGTGGCCCCCATGTGCAGTTTGTCCTTTGACGGATGTCAGCATTGTCAGTACCTATGTGTGTTTCCTCAGCGATGAAGTATCTATAAAAGTATCTCTTTATACAAATGAAAAAGTTCTTACCCACTATTTGGCCACGAACTGCATCAGTATCTGAGGGATTTAGTTTGCATAGATCCAAACGCTGGTCTGCAAACAAACAATTGAAAACTTAACCCAAGGAATGTTAGTTAACTAGGGAGGAAGTTAGGCGTTCTGTATACAGAAAAAATAAAAAATGACGCCTCCTGAGCCTTCTTCAGTTGGAGTACGAGGCAGAAAAGTGTTTGGTTCTTACATCCAGTATCTTTTAATCTGCTGATGGCATTGGAGAGCAGCCGCACACAGCCCAGGAAGCCAGCTCCCTGTTTCTTGTGAATTTTCTTATGGTTCCACACGCTGATGGTTATAGAATCTGTTTTCCCTACATATCTGGAAAGAACATGCAAACTCACTTTTAGTTGTATTCTGAATTAGGATATCTCATTGAGATTTTATATGATTGACTTAAGAAGTCTTATTAAAATAATGCTGGCTCTATATTCCACGTGTAACAGGCATTCAATAAATACACATCTACTAATTTCAATGGGCTGGGAAAAAGATCTACTTTGTTCCTTCTGCAAGGAGCAAATGTAGATAATCACATGATAATAATAATCTTACAACAGAGATTTACTCTATTTTAATAGTTCCATAGGATAGTGACATGATTCATAAATTCCTACCAATTAGGCTTAATATAGAATACTAGTTTGCAATAAGGGAATACTTATAACCCATAGATCCATTCAAAGTACACAAAAGGACACTAATTAAGACACTGATACCCCACTTACTCTTGGTGCAAGTGAACCATAGAGAAAGGAACGTTCATGACAAGAACTTTCCAAGCCACTCATAGAGCCTCAGTATAATTGAAACTGAGTCTTAGAATGTAACTACTAAAAATCCTTCCCAAATGCAGTTTCATTAACAACTTAAGTTAACAATAAGACAATAATCTTCCAGTATTACTTTGATGAAAACTTCTTAGCAGACATGAAAACTTGGTGCATATAAAATAGCGGTCTTCAAGGTGCAATCCATTTTTTCGAATAAATATAAGAAATTGTCTCACAGCTAATATACATTTAATCATGTCGAACTCTCTTACAGAAAAAATACTAGGTTTAGGGTTGTATAAAAAATCAGAAGCATGTAGGGGCCAGGAGATTGAAGAGTTTGAGGTTCACAGAACTAAACCATAAAAATCTATGAAAATGCCAAATGTAAGGACATTCAAGTACATGAATTCTAAACTGAGGCAACGTGTATTAATTTGGCCAGCCACTTTTCTCATCGATAAAAAGTTAGCAATCCTTTTTCTCCTCTTAAATGCTTCTCTTGAAAGCTGGACACCTACTTTCCTGCCACTGCCCAAATAGTTTACAGAATGTTCAACTCACAGATCATAGTGCTGGTTCCACTTTGGGTCCAATGTGTTTTTCACAGTGTCAGTTGAGTGGCACTGCCCGGACCCATCCACGACAATCTTTGCAAAGGGGTCAGGGAGTCCTATGGGAGAGAGAACAGTTACACCTAGATGAGACTTGACATTTATCAATATGAAAACGCACAGTCTCAGGCTAAAGGGAGCTTCATCTAATTTGGTATAGAAGATTACCCTTGTACAATTTATTCCCTAATTTTGAGGATAATTTTGATTGGCAAAATAAGTTGTTTCTATTTAAGCTTTCTAAGAGAGACAACCCAGTGTGCTTCCACTCTCATATTTTTAGAGGATAGAAAATAAAACTACAAAAATGGACTTAAAATTCAAATTTCCATTTCTGATGATCATTAAAGTCGGGTTAATTGAAGGAAAGGGTGTCTGAAATTAATTGTACTTAAACTTTCTAAAAAATAACAATGCCCAGAAGTCATGTTTACTGATTTTTGCCTATCTTATCTATGGAAGTTTTAATTTGGTAAGTCCCTAGATGCTAGAGGATGAATCAGACAGGTGGTGAGGCACAAAGGTTCTCAAGATAGCGCTGGATGTGAGCCACCACCCTGAAGCTTCATCACTACTTAGAGAAAGCCTTTGAGCCTGTTTCTTCACCTTGAAAGTGTAAATGATACCACTCAAGAACTGAGCAACATTCTTGTGAGGATCAGAAAGTGTGTGAAAAGTTTAATGCTTCGGGCACCTATTTCATAGTAGGTGAATCTCTTAAGTTTAAGGAGTGATTCTTTTCTTTATAAAAGGATTCTGTGTTTATTTCTGCAATTCTTTTAATTATTGAGCTTTTAAAATGTGATTTAATTTATAAAATTTGATTGACAATTTTACTCAAACTCAGCTATTTGACAGAAGAAAATCCCATTTGTATTTGAGCTGAGAACACTTCATCCAGCAGGAAGTAATATCCTAATGGGTGGGGAGGCAGAGAAATAAGGTGTGGCTGCAACAGGGAATGAGAGAAACAAGTTTTCTGTTATGATTTAAAAATTCTGTGCCTTTGAGCTAAGGAGCCCCTTTGGGATAGTCAACTGGGAAATAAAAGTGTGTCAAACCATGAATCAGTAAAGGATGAGCCTTTCACGAGAATACACCGTGTTTGTTTTTGGTTTTGTGTTGGAGTCGCACTCTGTTGCCAGCTGGAGCTCAGTGACATGACCGTGACTCACAACAGCCTTGACCTCCTGGGCTCAGAGATCCTTCTGTCTCAGCCTCTGGAGTAGCTGGAACTGTGGGCATGCGCCACTACTCTCGGATAATTTTTTGGTAGAGACAAAGTCTCGCTATGTTGCCCAGGCTGGTTTCGAACTCCTGGGCTTAAGCAATCCTCCCACCTTGGCCTCCCACAGTGTTAGGATTACAGGCGTGAGCCACCATGCCCAGCCTCCAGTGTTTTTTAAAAAGTTTAAAATTCCAGAAATATATGAATAACATTGTTATTATAAGAAAACAAAATGAGTGTTTACTTACTGAAGAAGTCTTTCTTTGCAAGGTTCTTGGCACATAATACTAAAAACAAATTAAAATTACTAAGGTTAGCATTTGTGGACAAGATTACCACCATTGCTAGTCTATATTTACATTAGAAAAAATAGTTTCTAAAAATTATCTTTGCCAGTGATTTGTCTTTCAAATTTACCATTACTTTAAACAAAAGCCAACAACTATATAAAAAGTGTTTGCTCCTCGAACTGGAGATCAATTATAGCAAACACAAAGTGCTTTAAATTTAAAATATTAAACAGATGCAGATGGAATTATCAATATACTCTTACACTGCATAGCTATACGTAAAAACCAATTCAAATAAACACCTGAAGTAGTTACCCTTCTAGCTACTGCTACCAACAACAACTACTAAAGGAGCCATGCATATTTTCTATTCTCATAAACAATACAATTTGCAAATGTAAACTCTGGTATACTGGAAAACAGAAAGCAAGGGGAGACTGGTAGAAAACACAGGGCCATCATCAGGGTGCTGTGAACAAGTAACAAAATGCACGGTAATAACACAGTGTTGGTCTACAGAAAGAACGTGACTAGTGTTTTTGGTGCTATTCTCTCATTACAGGTCATATCAAATTATCGTTCAGTTTTGTCACCAGGCCTGCTGGCTGTGCAATGGAAGATACTGTGTCAAGGAAGAACATACTGATGTACTTTCATCCTTTGCACTGCTTCACAAATTTGCTAATATATAAGAATACAATGTTTTATTAAGAACTTTTAACAACAGTAGATACGCTTGCTGTTGTCCTGCCTCTTGTATCCTTTACAGTGTATCTTTCCTTTAATAAATCTACCTCTTCCAGTTTGTAACTGTCTTTAAAAAGAAAAAAGAACTTTGAGTTATATTATTATTTTATAAAAATATGCTCACATAATAATATTGCTCTGCAAACTTTCACTTAGTATTTTTCTATAACAGCTTTATTGAAATATAAATAATATACCATACAATTCACCTATTTAAAATGTTTAACTCTGTGGTTTTTAATATAGTCATGGGGTTGGACAACTGTCATCACAATCAATTTTAGAACGTTTTTATCATTCCGAAAAGAAATACCACACCATTAGCAGTCACTCTTCATTTAACCTCAGGTTTCCCAGTCCTAGGCAACCACCAATCTACTTTCTTTCTAAGGATTTGCCTATTCTGGACATTTCATATGAATAGAATCACGTAACATGTGGTCTTTTATGACTGGCTTCTTTCACTTAGCACTTTCAAGGTTCATCCATGTTGTAGCAGGAGTCAGTACTTCATTCCCTTGTATAACTGCGTAATATTCAATTGTATGGATATACCACATTTTCTATTCATCAGTTGATGGACATTTGGATTGCTCTGCTTATGGGCTATTATGAATAATCCTGTACAAGTTGTTATGTAGACACATGTATTTATTTTTGTTATAAAGCTATGAGTGAAACCTCTGGGTTATAAAGTAACTATTGTTTAAGATTTTGAGGAGCTGCCAAACTGTTTTCCATAGAATCTGCACCATTTTATATTCCTTCCAGCAGTGTACATGGGTTCCAATTTCTCTTTATTCTCATAACATACACTTGTTACTGTCTGTTGCTGGATTTGTATATCTCTGTGGCTTCAATTTGCATTTCTCTGATGACTAATGACTTTGAGCATCTTTCCATGTGTTAATTAGCTATTAGTATATCTTCTTTGAAGAAATTTATTTTCCAATCTTTTTTCCATTTTTAAGTTGGGTTGTCTTTTTATGACTGAGTTGTGGAAATTCTTATATATTAAGAATGATCTTAATTAAGGGTATTCTTAGCTAAATACCCTTATCAGAAAAATGATTTGCAAATATTTTCTTTCATTCCATGGGTTATCTTTTTACTTTTTTTTTTTTTTTTTTTTTTTTGAGTTGGAGTCTTACTCTGTCGCCCAGACTGGAGTGCAGTGGCTGCTTGCAGCCACTGCAGCCTCGATCTGCTGGGCTCCAGTGATCCTTCCACCTCAGCCTTCCAAGTAGCTGGAACTACAGGCATGCGCTACCATACCCAGCTAATTTTTTTGATTTATTGTAGAGATGAGGTCTCACCAACTTGCCCAGGCGGGTATGGAACCCGTGGGCTCAGGCAATCCACTCACCTCAGCCTCCCAAGGTGCGGGATTACAGGCTGTGCCACCGAGCCCGGCTATCTTTTTACTTTTTTGATGGTGTCCTTTGAAGCACCAAGATTTTCCATTTTAATTAAGTCCACTTTATCTTTTTTTTTTTTTTTTTTTTGGTTGTATGTCCTTTTGGTGTCATATCTAAGAAGTCTTTGCCTACACCAAGGTCTTAAAGATTTACTCCTGTATTTTCTTCTAAGAATTTTACACTTTTAGCTCTTAAATATACATTTTGGTCTATGATCCATTTCATATGTTGTGAAGAGGTTCAACTTCATTCCTTTGCAGGTGGCTATCCAGTTGTGCCATCATCATTTGCTGAAAAGTCTATTCTTTCACATTGCCTTGTCTTGGTACCTTGTTGGAAATCAATTTACTATAAATATGAGAGTTTGTTTGTGGTCTCTCAATTCTATCCCATTGATCCATATGTCTCTCCTTGTGCCATGGCCTCACTGTCTTGATTACTATGATTTTGTAGTAAGTTTTGAAATTGGGAAGCATTAGTCTTCCAACCTTGTTCAAGGCCTTTTTGGACTGTCTGGATCTCCTGAATTTCCATATGACTGTTAGGATCAGCTTGTAATTTCTGCAGCAAAAGCCAGTCTGGATTTGATAGGGACTACACTGAATCCATAGGTAAATTCTGGGAGCACTGCCATCTTAACAATATTAAGTTGTCCAACCCACAAACATGAATGTTCTTCTTTAGGTCTTCTTTAAATTCTTTCAACTTCGTTTTGTAATTTTCAGAGTACAGATTTGTGTCTCTGTGTCTGTCTGTCTCTCTCTCTAGGCTGGAGTACAGTAGGCCCAATCACAACTCAAGTGATCCTCCCACCTCAGACTCCACAGTACTGAGACTAGAGGTATGCACCACCACGCACAGCTAATTTTTAAAATTTTTTGTAGATAGGGTCTCACTGTGCTGCCCAGGATAACCTTGAACTCCTAGCCTCAAGTGATCCTCCTGCCTCAGCCTTCTAAGTGCTGGGGTTACAGTTATGCTCAGTCTGCACTTCCTTCTATTAAACGTCTTCCTATTTTTCCATTTCATTTCAATTAGCTTTGTTAGTGTCTTTCTAGAAATTTATTGATTTCAATAAATTTGTCCGCATATATGTGTTCATAGTATCCCCAATAATCCTTTTTATTTTCGTATAGTAATATTTCTTCTTCAGTGTAATGTAATCTGTATACCTTTCTTTCCACCTCAGTGTTTTTAGTGGATAGAACATAATTTATTACAGCTCCTGCTGGTACTTCCTCTAATTACTAAAGTAATACAAACTCAAAAATACAGAAATGTATAAATAAAAACTACACACCTCTAAAATCTCATCATTACTTTCTGTTCAGCATTTGCCTAACCATTCTTAAGTGCTTATTTTTCCCATTAAACTTTCAAGTAATTTTGAGCAAGTTTTTAAATAAGGTTTTAAAGTATTTTATAGAAGTCCTGCATATTCCTATTTGGGTTTTCTCAAATAATTTGTTTTTTGTTTCTATTGTTAATGGGATAATTATTTTAACTACATCTTTTTATTTATTTTATTTTTTTAATTTTGTTTTTATTTTTAGGAACAGGGTCTTAATCTGTCACCTCGGCTGGAGTGTAATAGCACTATCATAGCTCACTGCAGCTCAAGCAATCATCCCACCTCAGTTTTCTGAGTAGCTGGGACTACAGGCATGCCAAGTCCGGCTACTTTAAAAGAATTTTTTTTGTAAAGACGGGGTCTCACTATGTTGCTCAGGCTGGTCTTGAACTCCTGGTCTCAAAAGATCTTCCCACCTTGGCTCCCAAAGCACTGAGATTTTTCACTGCATTTTCGAATTGTTATTTGGCTATAGAGGAGCTATTAATTTTCTTACATTAATTTTAAATCAACCATCTATTTGAACTCTCTTCACATGGACCTATAATGTTTTACTTCCTTCAACTTCCCTTTTCTTTCCCAAAGCTTTGAATATCTTAACAGCTCTCATATAAAACTCAGTCTCCAAAACTGAAGCTGAGGTCTTCCCACTCTGACTAAAAACCTGGTTCTCTCCTAGGATTTGTTATTTCAGCAGGAGCATCAAAATGGCCTATAGACTGCACAAGCAGAAACCTACATGTCTTTCTGTCTCTTAAGCACTCTCAAATGTGTCAACTGTTCAGCATCTCTACCCTTGTCCTGTTCCCAGAACTGCTATGATGAAGTGATCTTTTCAAGACTTAAATCTCCTCATGTTTCTCACTCTTTTAATTTTTAAAATTCTCCAGTGGCTTCTCATTACAGAACTCCAGTCCTGTGAGACTCTGATCCCTACCTCTTCCCTTCTCCTCCCCGGCCTCAAATATTATCCCCGAGTCTGGGCCCTAGTTTGCTGTGGTGTGGTGCTAGGTTGCTTCTGAATGGAATTCTGATCACATGTCTCAAAAATATTAATCTGTTCATATTGACAAGGCTAGCATGTTTTAAGACGCCAGTGGAATTTGCTTACATCATAAAGTAGAAAAGGTCTTAGTAGTGTTAGCACAAATAAAGTTTTGCCTCAGTTTTATGTAAGGATCACTTAGGGTCATTCTGAGTCTAGTTCAGATGATGGCATATGATTTATTCTACTAAAATAATTTTGTGATCTCGAGATGGAATTAAAAGGTAATTTACTTCTCATCATAATTCCCACTCTACTTGGATATTTACCGCTCATTTTGTTTGTTTGCTTGTTTTTTTGAGTTGAAGTCTCACTCTGTCACCCAGACTGGAGCACAGTGGCTGCTCCTGGTCACCGCAGCCTCGACCTGCTGGGCTCCGGCAATCCTTCCGCCTCAGCCTTCCGAGTAGCCGGAATTACAGGCGCGCGCTACCACGCCCAGCTAATTTTTTGATTTATTGTAGAGATGAGATCTCGCCTGTCCAGGTGGGTCTCGAACCCGCGGACTCAAGCAATCCACTCACTTCAGCCTCCCAAAGGCACGGGATTACAGGCTGAGCCACCGAGCCCGGCCCGTTCATTTTTAAAAAATACATTTATATACCAATTATAAGTGAGATTCTTGGGGTACACTGAACAAAAGAGACAAGTACTCTTACAGAAAACCGAGTTTATTTTTCAGTGTAGACCACTGCATGGTTGCTTCGATTCCAATTCGGAAGTACCCCCCACCTAAGCCACATCATGTCTCTTACATCCCATAATTTCCCAATCACATACCACAGTTTTCCTGATGTTGGGGATATGGTCAAAGTGAACCACATAATTCTCACTAAGCATGTGAAACATGGAAGGGAGATGCTTTACGAACATGAGGCGCTTTCAATTAGTAAGACAAGCTTCTTCACCTGGTCCCTGGCAAAAGACAGGGTCACAGAAACAGAGTAGGTTTCACCTACTCCCAGGAGGAGCTACAACAACACACATTTAGTACTGCATTCTACCTTGAGAAATTTTCTAACCTGTGTCAATACTTCAACTATCTTTCTATCCCAAGGCTAGAAACTTTCGTGCAATGTTTTTACTCCTCTCTTCCTCTTCTAGTTATGTGTGTCACCAAGTCCTATCATTTATATCTTCCAAACCCTTGAATTGGTCTCTTCCCCTGTTTTTATACCCTCTCTCCCATTCTTGGCTTCACCTACACACAACAGCACCCTCCCTGACTGAAGACTCCCCATCCACAAGATACTCAGCCACCAGACCAATCTTTTGAGAGCCATTTTTATGTTCTTGGGCTCAAAAAACTCAAATGGCTCTGTATTATATTGCACCACAAATCTAAATTTTCTCCCTGGGTTTTGGGATTTCCCATTCCCTAACAGCCCGGTTCATTATCCCTCCTCCCTGCCCCAACTCTAACTCCCTCCAAGAGTTTATTCTTGCTACTCAACCCATTTCACAATGCCTCTCTCTTTGTTGGGCTCTATCTTGAGGGTCCAGGCCAAGTACTCTTTTAGGAAGGCCTCATTCAGGCCAGTGTTTCCCAAATGTCACCCTGTGATGATATTTTCACTAGTGCCAACATGAAAAAAATAAGGACAATGTAGTGAGGTTTTCATAAAACGGAACCAATTACTTTTAAATGGCTGTTCTTTGCTCTGATATTTTGTCTTTCCCTTTTGTTAACATTTTCTTTCTTTAATGAAAGGAGGTAACAATAAATGATGATAAAAATGGTGATAGCTTTAGTAGTGACTTGGAAACATAAAAAGTGGCAAGATTATGCTGATGTCCACATTTATATAAATGTTTTAACTGATCTGGGTAGTACTGCTCTAACCATCAAGGATCTAGTACCTTTTCTCAATCCTGTTTACTTAAGAATCATTCAGTACTCAATTACTGTCATACAAGTGGCTTTGTCCCCTAGCTAAGTTAAATCCTCTGAAAGTGGAACTCCATCTTCTATCCTTTTAGACACTGGTTAAATATGATACTGGCTACACAACAGGCAGGCAACATGGACCTTGTGGTGAACAAGTCACAAAAAGTAAGCCAAACAGAACAACAGCGATAAAGACATAGGACAAGAAGCTATCGTTTCAATGGTCTAAAATATCTAAGTAAAATTTTCTTTCTTTTTTTCTTTTGAGTCAGTGTCACTCTGTGGCCCAGTCTGGAGTGCAGTGGCACAATCACAGCTCGCCACAGCCTCAAACCTGGGCTCAAGTGATCCTCCAGCCTCAGCCCCCCAAGTAGCTACACAGGTGTGCACCACCATACCTAGCAAGTTTTTTTTATTTTTTTGTAGAGATGAGATTGTGCTATGTTGCCCAGGCTGGTCTTGAACTCCCAGGCTGAAGCAATCTTCTTGCCGTGTCCTCCCAAAGTACTGGGATTACAGGTATGAGTCACCACACCCAGCCTAAAAATTTCACTTATTAGAAAATATAACAACACCTAGGATAACTGTCAACACATGTGTTAGCTGTCTACTTCATCTAACTTTTAGGTCTAAAACATACTTTAAAAAATTTTCCTTGGGAAAAATCCTTTAAGCTACTAAAAGGGGTAAAAACAGAATCTCTGCTAAAGGCAATGAGTAAGGTTTCCTGATGAGTGTGTTTTGCTACCATGCCATTCTCAAGGTCACTGAACTAGAGCCACTCATCTGGTAATTCTGATACAAATTTAGGAAATCCTCAAATTTGCACTTAGAGAAAAAAATCACATTTTGGTTACATCAACAGACTCAAAATGCCAAAAATGTTAAGCCCACACAACAGAACTGAACTAATAATTGCATTGTTTGCTTACTAAAACAAATACTTTTCCACTCCTTCTCAGTCAATTTACATATACACTATACATATATACACAGGGCTCCACTATCCAGACGTCATTAGATGATAACATCACTTCTTCTTTGCAGGGAAAATTGCCTAAGTTAACAAAACACATTTTAGCAACCACCAGTCACTCCTACTGGCTTTGGAGAGGGGTGAATTCAAGTAAACTGGTCCTCCTGACACAGGTTTCCAAAACATCCCCTTGCTTAAAATAAGGAAATATGGATGTTCATCTTCTCTAAATGCCCTACATTAGAAACAAATGACAAAATCATGTGAATTAGTTGAAATTGGAAGTTGATGGAGTTCAGATCATACCTGTAAACCTTGTAAGGCAGGGCTGCTGTAGCAGAAACAGCCTCCCCCATGAGGCAAAGCTCAGCTCTAAAGATGAGGTGACACTGGTCTGCTCCTCAGCCTGTCCCCATAGGTCCCAAACACTGACAGCACTTGTGTGACCCTTTCCAGTCTAAAAAGTTCTTTTGCAAACATGAAAGCTTTTTACATACTCTTCTTAGGCTCATAGGCGAGTAAACACGTGAGGCAGAAGTCCTTTTTACCACTTTCTAGAAAGCAAGAAGACTCAGAAGGCTTCCACAGGCATCTCTACTTCACCCCAGGCTTATCGCACAGGGCAGCAGCATCATAGCTCTAGAAGAGTCTGAAATTAAATCTTTGATTTATTTGTCTACTACTTAATGTCTAGCTCCACTGGAATAAGACCTGTGTCTTTTCTTATTCACTACTGTATCCCCAGAGCTTGAGACAGTGCCTGGCACACAGATATTCCTTTAAAAATATTTGCTGAATAAATGAATTAGGTAATAGCTTTATTTATTTATTTATTATTATTATTACCCTCTAACTAACTCACTAGAAAATAAGCACCAAGAATCATTACGTTCCTAGCATAGAGCACAGGACTTGGCATAAGTTAGTGCTCAATAAATGTCTGTTGAAATAAATCACTGCTTGCTTGAATGAATGAATGAATGAATGCAAAAGTTCTGCAAGAGCCTCCATTGTACTGTAGCTGACTCAAACCCCGCAGACCACAAGGAACCCAGAGCCGGGCAGCTTTGCACACACTGCCTGACAGATCTTGCTCTTCAGACCAAGTTTATGCTGTTTCTTAAAGTTTTATTAGTGCACTTGGCTGGCACTCAGGAAAAAAAACGTTCCATAGTTTCAAACCAGAAGTAAAATTACACTGAGGGAGAAATAAGGTAATGTCAAAAACAAAAACAACAACATAACATCATAAAGTCCAGAAGGCATTTGGAACTTTTTTATTTGCACAAAGCTCTTATTAAGGAACTGTCATTTTTATATATTAGGGGGATGATCTCCAAGGATCTGTTACACCATCACATTCCAAGAAAACCTATAACTGAGGAATATATTTAACTTTTAAATTTTAACTTTAAAATATTTTTCCTACCATGCTGGATCTGCCCACAGAAACTGCAGTACTGAAAATGGGATGACCTCTTCCTGGGTGAAGAAAGAAGATAGGCCTCACAAGAAGCAATTTCCAAAGCTACTGCTTTCTTTTGTTTGGTTTCTTCCCAAGTATTACAGGTGAGACACCTTTGCTTTGGGAGATAAGAAAAGTGTCTCATTTAAAGTCTGTCTCTATAGGACAATTTCTATCTCCAGATCATGTTTCTACTTCAAATAAACCCAAATGGAATGTGTTTGAGAAGAACAAGGGCATGGAGGGTCAGTGTAATTTTACAGGCGGAAACACATTTCCTTGCCTTTGACCATAGCACATTCAGGATTTCATTGGAGAGAGTTTTGTCTAAATACCTGAAGTAATCAGTTAATTATTTAATGCTGTCTCTTTAAACACGTTTATTTTTCCTTTCAAATGTCCCTTACTCAAATGCCATATGCAATGACAATGTTTATTAATTGCAAACTTCAGCCCTCAGTGTCTAGTATCTCATCTCCTGAAAGGCTCAGGATAATTTTACAAGCAGAAAGTAATGAGCAGTTTGCAACACGAGCTTCCGACACTATCCTAGAAAGCAGTCTGTCTCCCAGGCAACCATCTGACCGACACATCTGCCAAAAACACTGGAAGAAACCTATCAACGAATCTCAGTGGATGGCTTAGAAACTTTCTCTTCATTTTGTGAAAATTTTTTAAAAAATCAAATTCCCTTTAGTACAACTAATAACAGTAGCCAAAATTTATTTAGCTTGTAATGTGACTAGACATTATACCACGTATCTGACATACATGATTGTGTTTATTCAACATCACAATTCCAGGAGATAGTTGTTATTATATTCATTTTACTGATGAGAAAACTGAGTTTAAAAGATTAAATAATCTGACTAACCAAAGTCACAGAAGAAGCTCCTGCTTCTCAGAAGTGAATCTATTTATCCACTTAACCAACATTTACTGACCACACACCACATGTGCCAAGCACTGCTCCAAGGTCTGAGGACGAACTAAACAAATGGGTGTCTTCAGAGTACTTCCAAGCCCAAGGAAAGCACTTTTAGGGAAAGTAAACTAAGACTATCTTTTTTTTTTTTTTTTTTTACAATTACAATTGACTTAAGCTTCGTGTATCTTCCTAAGGTTATACAGTATAAAACTAAACCTTTCAGGAAGATGAATTTCAACCCTGAAAGCCTGTCACCAGGTAAATTGGATGTGATTGTCACCTTAGAAGGTAAACTGAATTAACTCCATCCAGGGTTAAGGGGGAAAAGAACCCACATAAATCTAAACATCCTTGCCTGACTTTTGACGACCTATCGATATGAATGAAACTGCTTTCTTTTGATGAGGCCATTTTAGACAAGGTGGTAAATTTGTGCTGGGCATGAGGAAAGGTTGAGGGATTACATGAGATGAAAGCTAGAATCACACAAACTAGTCTACAAGCTGATAACCAGACCAGACCTAAAGCGAATAAGCAAGGAAAAAGTAATCATAAATAATAGCAAGAGAAGCATGCCAGCATTTCCTCTCTCAGCCACTATGCCGCCAAATGAAGC